GCTCCACAGGCGGCCCCGTCCAGGAAACACACAGCCAGGCAGACGAGCTCCGAGCCAGCTCCCATGTCAGAGGATGAAGAGAGCACATCCTAAGAACGTTAAATCAGCTGTTAGCATGGTGGTGGCAGCATGATGCTGGAAGCTGTAACCATCACTGATTGCTTTACATGCTGCTCCGCTCTTCATGGCCGCCCTCTCTGATGTTCTGGATCAGGACCATTTCTCTCTGACCACCCATTCGAGCCTCGTCCCTGAATCTGTTTGCTTTCCTTTCCAACCTGTTTCTGACTTTGACCGTGGAGACGTGTCTACTTCCTGGAGTGATGTCATCACCTGGTCTTCAGTTCTGCCTGAGGAAGGGAAGCAAATGATCTATGCCCCCCCTGTGGTTCCTGCTCCTGTGATTGACTATTTTTACATCAATCATTTAAATCGTAAATGTCTGGTTAAATCCTCCTGCTCCTTCTAACTGATTGGGTTTAATAATTTTTTATTCCTGATCAGCCAACCTGTCCAGCCCCCCGGGTCTCACCCTCTGTGTAACTGTTCAGCTGTAACACTAGCTGGGGGGTCACCGGGTCACCAGGTTTCCATGCGGTCCCGTCCGCCTGCAGCGATTCGGTCCCTGTGTGAATGAACCCGTCCCAGTCCTCCGTCCCCCCGTCCACCACCATTTCTTCATGGTCCCAGCCTCCGCCCCCCTGCTCTCCTCTTCGTTCCTCGTTTTGTGTCAGACCCTCCTCATCATAAAACCCGACTTCCTCCCGATCCTCCATCCAGCACACCGCTTTCCTTCTCTCTCCCCGTTATCAGGAACGGTTTGTGTTGGATGGAGCCGGAGCTGCGGCGCAGTAATCCACAGCCAGGACTCTGGTGTCTAAACAGATTATGTCAGTCTGGAATTAGCAATCTAAGACAATCCCCAATTAAATCTAGTCTCTGACATCAGAGGAAGGAAAACGCTTCTTCCTTTTTCACTGCTTCAACTTTCATTGAATTTCATTTAGATTTTAGGAGACAGACCAACACAGAATGTTATTTAAAAAACTGAAAAGTGTGGCGTGTGTTTGACTTAGTCCTGGTGAGGGAGCGTTTATAGAACCGTCACTGAGCGGCGTTTCAGAAGAACCAACGCTACCCTCACACATTCATTCAGGGAGGAGGAATAGAACCAGTAAGCCACCTATCTGCCTCCTGGCATCATCGTCGGGGGGGGGATTTATCATCAGGCAACTCTAGGCAGTTGCTTAGGGCCCCAAGTTCCTGGGGGCCCCATAAAACTCTGTTTCCATGTATGGTTAATAAAACTATTCCATATTTCTGCTCATTAATTATGTTGTTGATCAAAATCCTTTGGCTAAAATGCCATCAGAACGCTGATAATATTAAGTGTGTCTCAGCCCCCCCCCTTCAGTGTCCACCATATTGGATCAGTCCATTTGCTGCACATGTTCAGAAAGGTCCAAACAGACAGCAGCAAACCATTTGA